GTGACGAGAGTCGACTATGCTGCTTTGCTACTACCGCCTTCGTTTGTATTATATTACACGGGACGTTTGATATTATCGATTCGACGCGTGTATATCACCAAGCTCGTACAGGGGGATGCATTGCGTCGCTGCGTTTACGATCTGCTATATAAGTGTGCTGCATATTACGTGAATAATGCGCGAATTACATATAGAGTCTGCTGCGGTGCAGAACGTGTATCGGTTTCCGCGTAAAATGCTCATACGCTAATAGCGCGCGCGCGCGTATATATTTACATACACACTTGCTCGAGCGCAGGAAAAATAGAGAGTCGAATAATTTCGACTTATACTTGCAGTGTGTGCATTGTATGCGCCACGTGCTGCGCTCGCGCGCTGCAGACGAGACCCAAGTGCTCGACTAAAGAATAGCTTTTCTCTCTAAAGCTCGGCTTGCGTGCTTATTTCTACTAACTTTTTTTCTACCTGCTTAACGAAGTACATCCGTGATAAAAGTAACTTATATGTGTGTGTATATATGTATATATATAAAAAAAAGAAGGTGGAAAAAAAGTAGAACATTTTTAAGGAGTGCTTATCGTTACCTCATACACTCTTTTTACACATCACTTGAGCTTTCGTTGCATTTTTTCCAACTGCGCGATAATATACAGAATAACTGTGCGCGAATGTGGAAGATATTCTTTTCTTATTTAAAGCTAAAAGCGTGCGAGATTCTCGTGATGGAAGATTTTTTTCATAACGTACATACGCATGGAAATTTTTGTAAACGTTTCGAGAAGAGAAATCGAGGGAGAAAAGAAATTGATTAACGAATTTATGGGCTAAGATATAAATTTTCCTAATATACGTCAAAAATAATCGATTAATTGTCACGGATGAGTGTTGGGGACTGTTCGTACAGTACATGCGCCGATCTAGGCAAATACCAGCAATTGCTGGATAAAGCACGCGCGTTGTTATTTAATAACTCTGAAAAATATACTTTAATGGGAGATGAAAACGAGAAAAAGAAAGATAAAAAAGAAAAAGAGAAAGAGAAAGAGATGAGGAGCGAGCGAGAGAGGGAAAAAGCAAAACATCGGTGCCTGTGTACGTAGGAAAAAAACAGGGCAGAAAAAATTCGAACAATAAACAGTAAAATAAATTCGCCAAATAGCCAGCTGTCACGCGCAACATCGACAATACGTATACAAACGCAAACAGGACATGAAACAAAACTTACCGAGCTTCTCTCTACCCTCCATTATTCATCATTTTTCCTTCCCTTTTTTTTGGTTGTTGTTGTTGTTGTTGTTGTTTTTTTCTCTCTGTCGCTGTTATTGTCGTTGCGCTCGTACGCCTCTGTATTGCGTTAAAGCCGGGATGTACACAACCGCTACTTTGCCAATTTCAAATTTAAAATACTAAATCTTTTTTCACTCAAGCCGAATAACATGTCGATGATATTTCAATAATAAAATATACACACACGGAGCGTGACTAACTCCGTGGTACGGGTGTTATTTATTTACGAGGTTCATATTTGTCATCGTTAACTTCTTTTTCTCTCCAGTCCGTATCTCAATTTTATTGGATTAAACACGAAATTCAGGAATACAGGAGTCCCTCGTTATACGCGGATTTATTATCCGCGGAATTCGTTATCCGCGGTTAGTCGATTTGCGCCTATCCCTTCGTATCCACGGGTCGAGTCTTGTTATCCGCGGATCGAAGATCGTGATTTTTTTTCGGACGTATCTATATTCAGTTTAAATTTGGTTAGTGCACTGATAGAAATTTACGAACTCCGTCATGAAATCCGCTGTGGTTGGCTCAAGAATTATAGGATTTCATGAAACAAGACCACATTTTACCTGAGACAAGTAATTTTTCGTCATGCGGCAAGAAAATCAAGAATTCTTTTCTTGTTTCAACAAAAAGAATTTTTTGAAAATTTATAAATTTATTTAAGTATGGCTTCTTCTAAAACTCCGTCGAAAACTGCCTCAAAAACCCCCGGTGGATCAGACTGATGATGCACCTAAACCGATTTTTGATTCAAAACTGATTACGTCGAAGTTATGGATCGAGTTATTCGAGCAGGTGAATTAACAATGACTCATGATCCAATAATGACGCGTAGCTCGACTTTCAAACACTACTGTGATTTAGCTGCACAAATTTATGAAGAAATGCACAAAGATATTTTGAGACGAGCAAAGCAGAAAAAATTAACCGATTACTTTAAAAATTAAACATAGAATTGCATATATGTGTTGTAAATATAAATAAACATATATAAATAGAT